TCCAACTTGAATAAATCTATAAAGGTATTCAAAAGAATGCAACTTTAGATAGACCTTGACTTGTTGCAAAAATCTTCAAAATTTTGATGATGTTCCATCAAACTTCTCAGGCATACTAATCCTTATCTCTATCATACTTGTAGAAGCAAAACTCCTTAAATTTGGTTATGAGCTTGATCCACTTGCTTCCTTCAATTGCACAACTTCTTGTGACAGACTTTGAACTTCTTCTTTAGGTGTAGGTATAGTACCTCCATGATTCTTATTGAAAATACTTGAAATTTCTACTCTTAGAGTGTCAACAAGCTCACAAAGAATTCCAATAGTTACAAATCTATTCTCACTTTTGTTGAAAATAGTATCCATTATTTTTCCTTCTATAGACAATTCAAACAAATTCAAAAAATTAAATTAGAGAAAGATAATATGCAACCTCTAATAAAAAAAAATTACAAAGAAGAATAATCCATTCTCTTTAAGGAAAAGATTAGTATTAAAAATAAGATTTTTTATTTAAAGGTGGGTAGTCTGCAACCTTCAAAATACAACAATAGAAGTGAGGTAATCCATTCACTTCTAAAATAAGATAGAAATAGTATGTTAGTATTCATGTCAAATTGTCAAGAATATGAATCTCAAAAAAAGAAAATCCTCAAGAGACTCTTATATCACTAAAGAAAGCTAAAAATACATTCAAAGATGATATAATATTAAACTAGAATGGCTATTACCAAAAACAAAAAAACTAGAAAGTCTTGAAATAAGACTAAGGACTAAAAAGGTGTTGATAATAGTGAAGAGGGCTTCACTCTTGCCTCCATATATACTCTTAACTAGAAGGTATGTGGTAATGCCCTACAGGACCTCCAAAACATATTGACTTTGCAAGACACATAAATTAACTTGCAAGGCAAGTTTTCTATATATGTGCCACATAATTACCAAGTTTTTAACCTATCAAACAATTACAAATACATATAAAGTCAAGCAGCATTTATGAAGCTTCTAAGAGGCTTTTCTAAAAGATCTTATGAAATTAACCTACTTTTATCTATTTTTACCTATTATTATCTAATCATATAGGTATTTACTAAAATATCTATGTATATCTATGACAAGGACCTTCATTAAGTATTCTATAAGATTCCAACTCTACAATTCCTATTGTAGTTGGACAAACTCCTTTTTTGACATATTATCTTTTTTAATAGTTATACTTCTCATTTTATGATTGTATCATTGTCATACTGTAATTACTTATAGTATGTAAAAATTAATTAAAACATATAATATATTTGTAAGTCTTGATGTAGATTAGAGTGGTTAGTAAATAAATTTAAAGAGAATTGATATAAGAAAATTTATTTGAAGATTTATCTATTTTAATTATAGTATTTATATTATGTAGGATTTAGATATTTAGTATAAAACTTAAGGGAAGGTTGGAATCTAAAGATGAAAGTCTAAACTATTAGGAGGCTTATTGGGAGAGATAAAAGCAAGTCATGGTTGGATGAAGGTAAGAAATGGAGATCTTCATTCCTATTGGTTGAAGGCCATGCCCAATGGGCTTCGAGGAGGCTGCCTAAGGCCTTATTAGAGATTAAGGTTCCTCTTTCAAAGTCATTTGAGCTTTGGAGGCTAAGGTCAGAAAGTTCAAGATTTTGGGTATAATTTGGGTGAAGAGTTTGTGTGATTTCAAGTTTTTGTGAAGGAGATATAGGTGTTCAAAGTTGAGGTATCAAATTTGTACCTACTGTCACTCTTTGAAGCATAACATATACGTACGGAGAGCAATGAAAGACCAACAACTGGAATTGAAGAGAACACTTTTTTACTACACTTTACATATACTGTTTGACAAATTTCAACTTTGGATGAAGGAGTTATAGGGCATTGAAGACAGCACATGTAACTCAAAGGCAATAAGTGAGTCATTTTGTTGATAGTAATAGTTGGAGCCATATCTTGAGTTACTGGACGAATTTTGGGCTCAAAATTTCTATAAGTATGAGTTATTAAGTTAAAAAATTATAGATTAAAATTTCATGGTATTTAAATACTTATTTTTTGAGATATGAAGAAAATAGCATGTAGGTATATATAAGCTAGGGTTTGAAGCTACTGTTAGGACTTTCAAGATATCTCAAGATCTGTAACAAATTCGAAGTTGAATTTTTTTGTGATAGTTTTTGAAATTATATCAGTATTTTATATAAAATTTAGGGTTGTTTGGATGGTCTAATCGTGAGATATGAGCTGTTGAAGTTCAGAAAACATTTCTCACAAGGATATATAAGATTTTAAGAAACTTTATCATATATTTGGATGTTTTCTTAGTACTTGGGCTTATATTTTGATGTAATTGTCCTAAAAGGGAATATATTATATATATAAACTTAGTACTTTTATATCTTAGACTTAATTGAGCATTTAATGGCAGCCAAAAGCCCAATGCTTACTTGAGGCAAACTCTCTCTACCCCGACATATTGGTGCTTCTACTAAAAGAGCCTTAAGGCACTAATTATGTTAAGAAGTTAAGATGGGGGATCAAATCCCTGAGTTTGTATTACCAGTTGGGATAGATGCCCATGATTTATTTAGGACATTTGTCCAATTTATGGAAGAAAGGTAATATGTACATGTAGAGGATAGAAATACTACCAAAGCTTTATAAATAGTGGTGGATAAAATTAGAAGGTTTGATGGGAGGAATATTACTAAGTTCCTCAAGTTTTATACATGTGAAATGGAGGTGCATCAGGTTTCAGAAATGAAGATGATCACTACCTTTGATTTGGCAGTAGTACCAAAAATCAGAGAGATGATATAAGAGTTGCATACTGAGACTATATCATAGAAGCAATTTAAAGAACTCTTAAAAGAAGAATTTTTTGAGGAAGATTCAAAAAGAATGATAAAACAGAATTTTTTGGAGTAGATTCAGCAAAGGCTAATGAATCAAATAGCTCCAAATGAATTAATCAAGGAATTTGAGACTAAGTTTGGACAATTTCCACGGCAAGAGAAGCAGCTCTTGGAAATAAGGAAAATTGGATTATTCTTACAAGCAGCTAATGAATACTTGGAAAATAAGTTACTCTTTTATCTAGCAGATAAGATATTTGATAGTAATTTTATAAATAATTGGAAGCTAGTAAAAGAGACAATGAGACTTTTGGCTAAACAACAGAAGATTAAGACTTGTAGTTTAATATCAAGGTTGGAACCAACGTCTATATCTCAGAATCAAGTGACACCTCAAAAAGTGATGAAGACTATGAAAGATAGTACTCTTAAAGAATTGATCAAGGACATACAAGATTTGAAAGTAGAAATGACTAAGTTGAAGAAATCTCATATAGCAAATTCATCAAAGATAATTGAAGGCTCAAAGGGATTTTTAGAGAGATGTATGTGGTGTGGCAACCCAAACCACAAGCATGACGAATGTGATAGCTACAAAGGTGCAATCAAGGATGGTATTGTATATTTCAAAGAAGGTTGGATAAGACTCACAAGATCAGATGAGCCTTTAAAGACTAATTTTGGGAAGGGTGGCAAGAAAAAATTGGTGGAAGAGTAAATATCAAAGAATAATGTCATACAAGGAGAAAGAGCTAAGTCTTACTCTATTATAATTGAACAAAAAGCAGTTAAGGCTAGTTCCCTACCAACTACAGAAGTCATCATCATGGGAGCTAAAGCTATCAGAAAAATGACTGGGTGGAATGATCCAATTGATGCTATTAGTATTAAAGTATATTTATATGGAGATAAAGATGATGATGATTTACATGATGCCATGGTTGAAGAAAAAAGAAGTAGAGCTATTTATAAGGGGGATGTTATTGAGCTTGAAAACAAGAGGAGGTCTCCAAGAAACAAAGAAGCTTTTAAGGAGCAAAAATTGAAAAAAATGCCTTCTTCCACTCATCCTGGTAGTGCACCATTATCAAAAGAGTAGTGGGAGAAGAGCAAAGAGAAGGAGAAAGATGATGCAAGCAAATCTAAAAGTAAAAATCTTGCTTATAAGCTTCAATCTAATATTAAAACATCTATAGATATGAAGAGTATTTTAGATGAGAAGATCTTAGATGCAAAAATTGAATTCACTCTAAGAGAGGCTCTTGGTATAGCTAAAAAGGATTTCCATAAGTTGATCATCAAATATTCTTATTTTTTCAATATATTTAAAAGATAAATATGATATTCTCCTTAAAATATTTAGGATATATTTCCATTTCATTACACATTATCCAACAATGTATTGTTATTTTCAACTCCATGGCCATTTGGTTGATGCAAATAAAAGTAACAAAGCATCCACTGTCCAAAAAGTTTGGCCTCAAATAAAGGCCTTGGAACTAGCCCTTAACTCGACCAAATGGGAGAATTAGGGCTCGACCAAATGGGAGAATTAGGGCTTTGGTGGGGCCTCCTCCAAACTCAACGCAAGACGGGTGCAACTTCGGGCATCGGAGGATATTTCCAGACGGGCCGGTCTAGTCAACGAGAAACGCCCTCGTCGACGATCTCCGTCGTCGACGATCTCCGTCGTCGCCAGAGCCCCAGTGCACCCCACACCCGCAGCTGGCCGGTTCCTCCGGAATGGGTTGGGGGCGGGTAGGGACGGGTGAAGGAGCTCCCGGCCGGAGGTCGCGCAACCGCGTCCGAAGGAAGTTGACTAGTCAGGCAGGGGGGGGCCAGCTGTAGTGTAGTCTTTCTGTTTCTGCTTGTCCGTCCCCTTGCAATTCGTTCCTTGGCGCAGAGCTCGTGGTTGGAAAGCCAATCAGCCAGTCGTGGTTGCGAGTCCTATCAGGTTTACCTCCCCCTTCCCCTCGCCCTCCGCTTCCGCTTCCGCTGCCTTGCCCGCGACGAGACTATTCCGCGTTCTTCGTTGACCTTGTAAGTACATTTTGGTCCTTAATAGCTTTGGATTGAGCCGTCATTGGCAACTCTTGTCTGGCTGCGGACAGCTCGCTTGTCCCTGTACGTAACGATGTTGTAGTAGAGGTTCCATAAAGTTGAGGATTGTTGTCACCTTCACCGAGGTCGCTTAATTGATAATTGATTGTTACTAAATGCAGTGTTGCGTTGGTAGTGAGGTTTTGGTATTGTTTTTTGTTTTGTTTTTTTTTTTTTTTGAGGGAAATTAGTTGGAAGATTCTTTTGGTGATTGGGATGGAATGATTAATAGTGGTGTGCGGTGTTTATGACTTTGGATTCAAATTTAATTTGCAGTGCGGAGGAGAGGAGATAGCCAGGGATTGAGGAATGATGCACAGCTTGGAAGCTAGAAGAGGGTGTCAAAGTGCGCCGTTCTTTTGCAGTCTGCTGGATTCTAAGTAACTACATCAAAGGGTGGAAGTGTGGGTTTGGAAGGCCCTGAAATCGGAGAAGCGTATTTGATTTAGGGCTGCCTCTGTATCTAGTCTCGAGAGGGCTGAGTGGATCGAGAGTTGTTAGATTGAGAAGTTTTTGAGGGTGAATTAGAAGGAAGGATTGAAAGAGTTCCGATGGGAGGTTCGGAAGAGGTCAGAGGTTTGATGCCTACTCTCGAGGAGGCTCTTGAAGAGGCGGAGAGACTCGCTGTTAAGACATCGACGACGCCGAACCTAGAGCAGGTGTTGGAAATTGCGGCGTCGGAGTCTTCGCACCCTTCTGTGGCAGCCGTGTGGCGAGATACGTCGGAGTTCTCTACCCATGGTGACGCCTTGCTCCCGAGCAGTAGGGTTGACTCCTTGATGATCGAGGACACCGTGACGCCTCAGGCAGTGGGGCATGCACTGGTGAAGGCAGCCCACGGAGGATATGTCAAATGTGTTCGTTGCCTACGGGAGATCCAGAAAGAAAAGCTTACCAGGAGCATACTTGTTGGCCGTTTCAATGCTTTTGCGTTTCTGAAAGCTGCGGAAAATGGTCACCAAGAGGTCATTCGAGAGCTCCTTCGGCCGATGATGTCCGCGAGCACGGCCATGATGGGATATGTCATAGCGACGAGGTGGAAAGTGAAAGAACCGTCGTCTTATCCATTCGTGAAGCCGCCTGTCAACGTCCCAGGGAAGGACTGGAATGGCAAGCTGGCATCCACCAAGAGCATGCTCCCCGCTGCCACGCCAATCTTTTGCCCTGGGGGTTGGGATCTCAGAGGTTTGCCCGGGGTTCCCGAGGAGTTGCACGATTGTATCCGCGCGACTTACAGCATCTACTTGCTTTGGCAGGCGGCGGTAATCTCTGCTGCCCACTGTCATGTTGAGGTGTTTAAAGTTTTGCTTCGGCAACGCGCTTTGGAGAACACCATGTTGGCCGACTCTTTTCACGACACCTCGGGACCTAAGAAAGGTTTCGATCAAGACGGGAAGAAGATCATCAGCGATCGTGCCAAAATGGACACGCTTATGTATCAATTGGTGGAGGAGTTGAGCACTAAGAACTACCATGACGGCATCCTGTATGCCTTATGGGGACACATTCAACGAGGAGGACGTGATTCTCCGCGACCCGAAGCTGGCCGGCCTCGATGCTTGGCCAAGGCGACGAATGGCCTCTGGGAGATGCAATTAGAAGTCCCGCTTCTGATGATGCCTGTAGAACATGCATTGCCAGATGAGGAACCCTTCCGCCGGTACAAGCAGCTCACGCAGCTCTTTAGTCAACGAGCGAAAGTCAATATCCAGCTCACAGCCATTGTTGAAGCTCTTCCAAATTGTCTTCAGGTAATTTCTCATCTTGTTTTGCTCGAATCTTCCGCAATTATGTCATTTTAGATCTACCAATATTCCTGTTTATCTTATGACCTCACGTTCGTCATAAACTTCAGTATGCTGTCGGTAAACTCTGTGGTGATGAATCTGCAGTTAGTGTTGATGTGACATTGACGTAGCCGATATGGCTTGACGCGCGCAGGTTGTCGTAGGGATCAAGCATGTGAGGTTCAAAGTGGAGAACTCTCGATGGGACCCTGAGTGCATGGGTCATTTCCCATGCTTGGTCACGTTATCGGTGACACCAGTGACAAAGGAGGGGACCGGAGTGACAATGACGAACTCGAGCTCCAACATTATTGTCAAGATTGGAAAAATGGAGAGAGTGCAAATTGGTACTAATGCAGGAGATGGTTCGACTCGAGGTATCAGTGGCGGGATGGGAGCTTCGGCCACCGTGGGTGTGACGTCCACAATGAAGAACAAGCCATGGAGGTTCGAGCAGCTTCCTTTGAAGGATGAACGTGGGGGCAGCTTTGTATGGACACTACAATCAATGAAAGGAGTAATGTTCGACCGGACTAATCCCATGCGCATGGCTGAGAGAAATTCTAAGTGGAGGTTCGGAAGGCGGATGCCAAGCAACCCGCTGGATGAGCTTCCCTTCACTAGCGAAGGAGGTGTCATTTTTACTAATGCCGAGTTTGACGATACCATGATGTGGCGCTTCCCCAAGCACATGGATGGGAAGAAAATGAGGTGGAGCATAGAGGGTCAAATCCACTCTACCTACACTACCACACGCTACTTTGAGACGCGCATGGCCACCTTCTGTGGTGACATTGAAGAGCCACTCAAGCCTCTGGAAGTGAAGGACAAGAATGCCACAAAAAAGGGCGGAGACGAAAATGTGGAGAAGGTCGAGAAATCTCCAAAGAATGAGGAGCAACCTGCGAAGGCTGAGAAAACCCCCAAGCCCGAAAGTTCTTCCAAACCTGAAAGTTCTCGAATCACTCCTCTAGATTATACCGAAGCTGAGTACCTAGAATTTTTGGAGTTCAAGAAATTTAAACAGAGAATGCAAAGACAAAGCCTTGGATCGATCGAGGCCCTAAATTATTCTGAAAAGGAAAGCATTCCAAGAGGGCATAGCCTTGGTTCGAACGAGGAACTAGACGGCCGATTAAAGACAGACAAAGACATTGTGGGGTTTGTTGTTCCACAGAGGGATATCCTCGGCAGTCAAGTAGCAATCGAAATAATGCAAAGAAAACAGGACCCTGAGCGGCACCACCATGATGAGCGGCATCAACGTACTAGTAGACCTCTCGATGAAGACAGGTTCCATTCTAGTCTTAGCCCAGCTGGTAGTGGGAATGGACCAGGGTTACATGGTTCTTCTGAAGAGGATTCAGGTAACCGAGGTGAACTCTGGAAGCGGAGGATTGCTGCTTCACGGGCGAGTGACGATGTCGATAGTAGTATCTTCACTGAAGATGAAGGAATCAGCAGTAGCGAATCTTCCAACAATAATGGTAGACGTATCACTGGTTTGTCGGTGCGAACGCGCTCTGACAAATTGAGCATCCCAGGGCGATGACGATCCTGTCACGATTGAATATCATGTATATGTGTAGAGTATTCTGCCAGGTAAGCCTGGAATCCACTGCAACACAATTTCTTGACGATCCTACTCAGAATTGGGAGATCCTATTTTTCCTGCTGTAGCATATCATTTATTTCCGGTATCTGAACTCTTGTGCATTTCTGTGTCGATCTATCTCCAATGCAGGTCAGCGCCAGCATAGATAAGTTTAGGCACCAAGACGTGTCAAACACTATTCACGTAATAAATAACTGATACTTTTTGAAGCCTCTGATATGTGGAGACCGATATAAATGTATCTAGCCTTCAGTTTTATTGATCGCTGCAGTTAAAATTGGCCTTGATTTATCGTTGCACGAGTTGCGGTCTCACTGGTGGGTTGCTCATGACGCTTCTTTGATCAAACTTTTATTGCATTGGTCGCTAGAGAACCAATTATTATTACAATACGCGTAGATCAAGTAAATCGAATTCCATGATGCTCACCACGTCCAACATGAAAAGTAACTGTGTGTATGTATCAAACCATCTTAGTCGCTTGCCCTGCAGGCTCTTGCCAGTTGTGTGGAGATCTTAAGCTGAAAAAATTATCCGCCGTAGCCGCTTCGAAACGTGGTCTCGAGTTACAGTACTTATGTTACAGAAAGGTGAGAATCTGCAACAGGGGATCTGCTTCAGCACTGCCAGTTTTTGATGTTTATCAGCTCCTTCAAATTTCTTTGAAATCTCACTCTTCAGTGGCTTGTGGATAATCAATCATGACGATAGAGGGATAGCCTGCATTTTGCAGCAGAATTTTGTGTACAGAAATGAAATGAACAATCAAGTACTTGAGTTCGAGTGTAATGCTAACACCAGGAGTCTCATATCCCTGTAATCTCAGTCCTTTTTTTTTCACTTGGTAGCTCCTAGATTCCCCGATCCACCTGATATGATGCCTTAAGTTTACACAGTATTCATTTATTTATTGTGGACGCAAGATGGGAGGGAATATTGCATAGATTAAGAAAGAAGAAGGTTCTAAAAGGACCAAAGTTCTATGACTTCCTAGTCAATACAAAAAAATAAAAAAATAAAAGCAATTAATTGTGTCCAAAGCATTATTTAGCTATTTTCTAAAAGTATTCCAATCAAGTAATAACACAATGTTTAATGAGAAATTTGAATATTTTATTTAGTTTTCATTTCTTTTATGTACCTTATAATATCTTTGACTATCCAAGATTTGTACCACCTTTTATAATAATTCATGTCTGATAATTTAAGTATGAAGTTTACATGAGCTTTCTTTTTTCTTTTTTCTTTAATATAATTTTATAAATAATTCCATCATTAAATAAATCTTAAAAAATCCTTGGTTATAGAAGTATCTATCAAATAAATTTGCATTGCTTTGAATCTACATGATCCACAAGCAAATGGTTCTAAGTAGTGACCAACTTGCCTTAACCTCCTAAATTAGGTACATGGGTTTTTAACAAAAAAATATTTGTGTTTATATATGTATGTATATGGATATATATATATATATATATATAGTAAAATACTATTACAAAAATAGTAAATATTTTAGACACAACATGCAATTTTGGCAATTTATTTATATATACACATACATATATCAGTTTAAAAATACATGTTTTTTTATTTTTATGTATATAATAGTACTTATCACATAAATACTTATATATCATGCATATAATATGAAAATTGATTTATTGTTATGATATTATACAAAATAAAAAGGGTTGTGTAATATTAGCAAATTATTCAATGTAAATATATTTATGTGGATACTTCAAACTATACAAATAAAAATTACTTTGTAAAAATTGCAAAAAATAACCATTATTATTAAAGAACATTAAGGCTACATTTTAGCATCTAAGATTAAATTCAAGAAGAAATAATAGACAAGAAAGCAATATCTAAGTTTTGCAAAACTAACTTTAAATTAAGTTGTGTGGATAAATTTTATCTATCAAACTATCATCCATAGGAGTACATCTAATCAATTCCTTACCTTGCAACTAGTACTCACTTATTACTTGGGGTAATAAATAGATTGTGGTTGTGAGACAAAGGATTTACATAAATAACTATCTTTTTTATGTAAAACACTAAAACTATTAGTTGGGCCCATTTCCTCAATCTATGAGATTTTGGGTTTGAACCTCCACAAAAACTACTTCATGCATCCATGTTAATTTTGCAGTTCCTCTATTTGAAATCTCTCTTATTTTTGATAAGATACAATACCATTAGATAGAGTAAAAGATAGGAGATGACATCACCAAATGGAGAGATGATGGTGCCACACAAACTAGAACATGTTAAGTGCATTTCAATTAGTTCCACATACCACTAATTTACTCCTATGAAGGCACTATTTACAAAAGTGAAGGCAAAAACTTCCACATTAAAATTGAAAACAAACTTACATTTAGAAATAACAAATTTCTAATCTACCACCTTCGATGTGAATGCTGCTATTTGTCTTCTTCAAGCTCCTTCCAAATTGTTCAAATTTCTTCAAGCTCTTCATTCAATAGATTCTGCCAATAGTCTCTATTGACCTATTTGAAATTTGTTTTGTCATAGAAATTGTCCTCTGCATCTACTAAAAGATTAGGTTCTTGACAACTTAGTAGAACACGTTCCCTATGGTTCAACTAATGTATCAGCCAAACTGCCGTTTATAGTACTTACAAAAAACATCGTTATTCAATGCTGATGCGTTGAAACCTTACAATCGAATTTGATAGAATAAATGGATGCTGTGAAACGTTTCTTTCAAATCACAAATATCAATGTAGCATTCAAAATGGTTCAAAAGCATGATTTGCCTCTGGAACATGCTGAAGTTTTTCATCACAATTGTCTGCTAGAGTAAGAATCTATTTGTGATACAAATCCTGAAGTAATGTCAATCCGAAACTACATAGGCCTAAACATCACTTTGTACCATATACTAAAAAAAGAAACGAGGCTAAACTGCCACTTTGATAGTAATGGTGTGTCTCAGTTCTCTCAGCGTAAGCAAGGTGACAAAGAACAAGGGACAGCTTTGTGCAGTACCATGGTTGAATGCAAACTTCTCATTTGAGTGCTCACGTAAGGCCGAAGCAATAAATCTCGAGAGAATCTTCCGCTTCCCGAGATTACCTCTTCACCCACTGGTAACTCTTGCGAGCCTTTGCCTTTCCAGGCTTCTTCCGCTCCACTACTCTTGAATCCCTCGTCAACATGCCAGCTGTTGCAAGCAAAACCAAGGACCGAGGTTAAACAACTGCGGTGACGCGCAAAACATGACCCTCATGCTAACAGACAAAATAATCAACTTCGAACTGAAGTTTACAGCGAAAGTACTAACAAAAAAAGATAAGTTAATTGCAAAAGAAAAGACGTTTGTCGTACCCGACTTCAGTGCCGGTCGAAGGTTGGGATCGAAGAGTTGCAGAGCTTTGCTGATACCATGACGGATTGCCCCTGATTGACCTGAACAATGTTTTACCCAAATAACAATGAATGAGCACAACAAATTGATCCAAATATGCCCCTGTTCTGAATGGAATAGGGGATACATGACTTGTGTAACAAAGGAACACGAAGATGAACGACTTTGCATGGATGGCTGTAAGAGCTGTAGTTTGAAAATACGGATTTCGACACTCAGAGGATCATTAGTGATTCTATTTACCTGCACAAACTAAGCTAGTAACACATTCAACATAAATTCAGTATGAAAGACAGGTTGCTTGACCTGTTGTGCCACCTCCCTTAACAGTTGAACGCACATCGAAAGCACCAAGTGTGCTGGTCTGAACAAAGGGCTCAAGCATGTGAACACGGTTGGCGATGTCAGGAAAATAGTTATCAAAGGCTTTCCCGTTAATTGTAAACTTTCCTTGTCCTTCATAAAGCCATACTCTAGCGATACTTTCTTTCCTCTTTCCTGTGGCATAGGCCCTTCCAAACTCATCTACCGTTTTCACCCGTGTTTTATCTATTTCCTCCTGTTTAAGTCGCTCAATCTCTCTACGCATGGCTTTCTTCTCCCCTTCAGGATCCATCTCCTCAATGAGCTCTAGTGGTGGGAGCCCTTCAATGCCAGTGAAATCCTTCAAAGCGATCAAGCTGTCAAGAGCATCCTCGGTCAGGCCAGATTGTGCTAGCAAATAGCCGAAAGTGCCCGGAGCGGGCGGAGGTTCTTTTTCTCCGGCTGAAAAAACAAATAAAAACAAATAACAAATGTAAGTAACGATCCATCCAATAAGTTAACCAGACCCTAACTGACACTCTGATTCCTGTGGAGAAACAGAAAACCATTCCCTGATCTGAAGTCTTCAACATCATCTAAACACCAGAACAAATTGCATCACCGCAAGGCAAAACCCTAAAACCCCTAAAACCCCTCAAACCCTCAAAATCCCTCAAAAACCCTCAAAACCCTCAAAAAAACCTGCCAGACCCTGAAACAATCGTGAATTACAGCGACAGAGAATCACGCACACCTCCTGAGAAATCACTGGAGCTCGACATATCGCGATGCAAAAAGGGCAGCAACGTGGGCCTCTCCCAGACGGCAGGGAGCATGGATTTGGCCACATTTTGGCGGAGCGGAAGGAACAGACTCCGCAGCCTGCCTAACGAGGCCATATCACAAAAGGAGCAATCCTCGCACTCTTTTGGAGATGACCGCAACGCAGCAACACCAAGCGAGCTCCGAATCCCAACACAATTCACCACAACAGCGCAGCCATGGCCAGTTTGGGCGTTGGGTCGCCTCTTTGGCTTCTTCACCGACACTGGCTCGTTAGATGAATGAACTTCTGGATGAGTAACTTCTACGATGAATGACTTTTGGATGAATGTATCGATGAACTTCCTCTAATGACAGATACTTTTTAGTTTTATTGATCATTGTTTTATTTTTAAAATTATATTAAACGTTCTCCAAAACCATAACATGACCTCTAGTGTAAAAACGCATCTATTCTTTACTACTTACTAATTCATATTAGATTATAATGATCTTTATAAGCTCGAATTTTTAGTAATGGAATATGTATCTTTGTGCTGATTTAGTTTGAAAAATATATCATTTAAAAAATCATCTGGAGACTAATAGACAATAAACATATGTCTAAAAACAGTCATTCCATATTTGGACACAAAATTCATTCTACATTGGGCCACATGTACTTCATTAATCATTTTTTTTAATCTGAAAGTGATGATGTTTTTCATATGCTTAATTTTTTAACTCAATTAAAAATTATAGATATATATATATATATATATATATAGATATGTGTGTGTGTGTGTGTGTGTGTGTGCATATATTACTGTAATTTTCATTTAAATTATTGAAATATCGTATCACTTTATTTTTTAAATTATTTCTAATTGTTACTTTTTTGCTTTGGAAACATATGTTATAAACTCCATGTAGTCTCTAACTATTACTTTTCTCATTCAAAATAATTTTTATCCAAATGAAATCAATTTTATAGTTTTTAAAGTAAAACTACAATTTTGACCCATGCTAGAACTTTTGTATGATCTATTTTTGACATTAACCAAGACTAGCTGTTGCTTCTATTGTGGTGTATTTTACTATAGATAGTAAACCATCAACTAAATGTGATTAGTTGTGGTCATGTGATGGATTGCTATCCCCAATACAATCTTAAGGCGCAATGGAGAGTTCACTTCCATTTCTGTTAAACAAAATTCTTGTTTAACTGTGTTGCTTTTATATTGCATGCTGTTTGTGAACCAGAAAATAATGGTCATAGTATCACAGTTTCCTGAAAAAACATGCTTCTTTTCATCAATTTCTTCTCACGTTGTAACCATAATCTATGTTAACTTTTACTTAACCTCAAGAGTATGATACTATGGCCATTGTTTGGTAGTGTTTGACATTCTAAGGTTGACCGCTGTGCTGCTCTTGCTCATGAGCGATTGGTTATGCTTGCCGAGGTGATGCATTTGTGTGGTTGCTAATACAATTGTGTGTATCAGCTGCACTCAATTGCTAATACATTTGTGTGGTAGCTTTGAGTGAAGCTAATACAATTGCTTCACTTTCCTGCGTTCACGAAAGCTTCATCAACGTCTATACGCCTCAAGGAAACTATGTGTGCTATGGTTGCAATCAAGGTCATAGGAGAAACATACCAACTTGTTGCTGCATACAATGCTGACATTGCAAACGGCCACAAGTTGAGAAATACCCAGTAGACAAGAAATGGAGAATGTTCACAAGAAGGGATGCGTCTGTGGGACATGCTTCGGACAGTGGACCGAGCAGGACTACTTGAAGAAATCCTAGACTGAGCATAGTCGCATTGCAAGCAAACGTTCGAAGGTTCTCAGCATCGTGCACAAACTAAGACCTACAATGAAGCCTCACTTTTTCTCTTCGTGCAAATCACTCTTGTCAGGAAATTGTGATAGACGAAGCAATATACTGCTACGAATGCAATTGGGGTATCCAGAATTGGGTCATTGCAAGAATGAGACCAAAGCTGGTACCTTTGTGAGGTAAGGATAAATGTTGATGAGTAATAAATTAGTTTGTTATATTTTAGTGCAGATGTAAGAATGTTGTGAACTGTTGCCAAGTGTTGTGAAACAATGTTATTGCAATGTTTGAAGTGAGGAATAAAACTTGTGCCAACAAAATAGCAATAATCCCAATACAATGAAAGAGTGACCAATGGTTTTTTCGTTTATTTTCCATTGCCAATCCATTTTTACCTCTAAATCATTAATATTAAGAGAGAGAGAGAGAGAGAGAGAGAGACGTAATTATTACCTCTAAATCATTAATATTTTTAATGATCATTATTACAGTAAATGTGGTTGCACTTGTTTTAGTTATTAATAAAAACTGTCCTAATGTCTATCAAACATATCATGTCAACCAACTTATGTAGTTCCTTTTGTAAATTAAAAGAGTACAGGTATTTAAAAGAGATGCTACACATTTAATATTTTTGTAATATATTTTATTACAGAATCTTTATAAAAATTTATTCTTTTTTTCACAAGAATCAATACATACACACACACACACACACACACATATATATATATATATATATATATCATTAAAGCATAATTTGACCATTTCTTTTGAAATTTTGCATGTCAATTTAGCCTTTGAAATACTACTATTTTTTATTGCATATGCTATGAAATTAACTATAAATGAATGATTGTTTATAAAATTTCTTACCTCTATTGTCCACAAAATATAGTGTAGTAATTGTTGACCGACCCCCTCCATAAGATTAGTCACATTGTTAAAAAATGTGGACCATTTAGTAATTTTCCAGAATATTTCAAAGCTAAATGAAAATAGAAAGGCAAATATTGTCATCCATGGTGTCAATCTTTTCAAGGTTATGAATGGTGAATTTCTGTCTGTAAAAACTTTATTAGATTTGTAAAAAGACCATCAGCTCTTTTTAAACATCACAAGTGCATCATTAAATTTTGAATAAATGTTATGTATTTATGGTAATATTCATTAACATATAGTTGTATATTAGTACCTTCTTTCTATAATTGTAGAATATATTGCATATTTTTGTTGCCGATGTACATAAATTCGTGTTAATTAAACAATATTAACAATATATTAAAATACTTACATATTTTAAGCTCATATTATAAATAGTGTAAAATTTCCCTAAATCAGACAAAAACATATTAAGAGAATATTAAAATATTAATATTTCCGAAAAAAAGGATATATATATATATATATATTATTTTATTTACAGATAAATAAAATAGAGTAAGAGAAAAAGAATTTTGACTAACTTGTTAATAAACTTCCAATTGTCATCAACACAATTGATAGTGTTAACTTGAATGCAGGTACCTCAAATCTGTCTTTGTAGACATGGCAATTAAATTTGAATGGTTTTAAATAATTATCAGTTAGAAATATAAATAAATAGATAAATTAAAAATACTTGAATCAATTTTCAACAAAAAATAAATGGAATCTTTGAATACCTGCATACATAAGATAAAAGTAAAATTGATAATGGGGATGTGAATTTGCACTGTGTGGTAGTTGCATTAATTTTTGCAAAATAAGCAAAAATTGTATCAAGACGTGTTTGATGTATAATCTTAAAAAGTTATAACAATGTCATTTTGAGATCAGAACAGAAAACTTTTAAATTGAATAAAGCAAAAATTATCATTTTAGATGTTAGACTTTCTATGCTATTCATGATTTACTTTATTTTATTTTATAAAGTATTATACATGCTTTAATAATTCTGATTCATATGATGGATTTATGGCTTACCAATTTGTTGAACTGATTGTGCCTACCTATTTGATTCAATTCAAGAGCTATATCAAAGCTTGTGGCTATTGCAATGGGAATCACTGCAACACACACACACACACACACACACACACATATATATATATATATCAACAAAAAAAATATACATGTGTAACTCAACCTTCTTTAACATTTGTGCAAAAATTAGAAAAAGAGAGATTATATATATATATATATATATATTTATACAAATACTCTTATATCCTTCACAAAAAAATAATAAATAATAATAAATAATTACACACCTATGATCATGTTGGAAGTCCAGCTCAGATGATGAGTTGGCATGATAACATTCTTGTGTTTCTCAACCTCATAAACAAAATAAGCTTGAAAGGCAAACCCAAAGGCCTGCAACAGATGAGGAGCTGGGAACTCGTCAATAATACCACCTCTGCTTTCTACCCTCATCTTTTACACAAGATGCACCAGAGGAGCGCGTACATGGCCCTACGCCTCACGGACGCCGCGTTATTGCGGGCCCCGCGCGGCGTGTCTGGCATCACGCGCCGCGACTGCGAGTGAGAACTCGACGATCCTCTGTCCTCGCCATCGGCACCGGATGGCAGCAACGTCGTCGTCGTCGTCGTTGTCCAGTTGAACTCTGCTCAGGGTTGGAGCTCCGAGGTGCTGAATCGTTCGTTGCAACTGATGCATCCCGTGATCATCACGGTGGTAGTGGCGATGTTGTCGTGGATGCCATCTTTGATATCAGTGATGGATCTGTTGATGTCGTTGCTTGGGGGGCATGTGAAGGCTGTGAGGGGGCTGTTGAGGCGATCACGGGGCGAGTCCAGAGCCCCTCGGGTTATGACTCGGTGCTTCTTGGTGGCGTAGATGCCGAACGCTAGAGATGAGGAGATTACCACCGCCGCCACCACACCCACTCGCTGGGCTGCGGTCAGGTTTGCAATCTGTTGCGGCAGTTGAGCATTATGCCCTGACATTCTTGCAGGTAAGGGTTATGGTCCTCGGTTGGGAGGCCAACACAATTTGCTGATCTGATTGGTCAATGTGCATGTTCTCTGTTTCCAGCCCTGATAACGTCGGTTGATGGGTTTTCGCCGTCTCTTGAGGTCTTAAAGTGTTGGGTCCTAAGCTTTTCTTCTTTCATATTCGCATAGACACATCACGTGTCCTCGGAAATGTTCCTCCATCCTCCAATTTCAAGTGTGGCGACGAAGTTGGGTTGGTTGTAGCAGAGTTGTGCTTCACTCGCCTCTTCTGTGGGGAGAGTTATGTCTGGGTGTCTTGTTGGATCCTCCTCTTAGTTTGTCTGATTGCCCTAAATTTCCATCATACGGTAAGGTGGAGTTCTTCCAGTTTGAAGTCGAAAATCAAAGATTTGAGTTCCACTGCTTTTCATGAGTTTGTCGCAATGACGTTACGACCAGTGATGGAACCTCCCGCTTGACAATTTCAACTTCCTCTCAATTGTCCCCACGGAATTGGAGGTTTGATCTTTATTTAATTTTATTTTCGGGCCAGTTGAAAGATCCCGAAAGGATATACATATGCCGTGATTGAGGTGCACGAACATTGGGTCCCCAGTCTTCGTAGACTCTTGTCTATTGCCCGAACCAATTCTGAGGGTTTAAATATGGTGATACAGAGTTGAGTTCTCGTGGCTTGCACATTTCACGCTGGGTACATTGAATTAGGTACCTGCAGTTTGGGCATAATGCGAAACCGTGGCATCGAACCAATTGTTGCAAGTAGACATCTTTCATTCTATGTCTCCAAAGATGCCAGTAATCCTATGCACTGACCCTGTTTCAACATCATGACTCTCAGGATTATAGTACCATCCTCTTTTCCTGGACTACGACGAATCGGAAGATTTCAACCGTAACATTGTTATCATTTGTGGACCAAAGAGAGGGCAGTGTAGGTGCTGCAACTCTTCCGACACGCAGACTCAGATCCTCCTCGCCACGCGTACAGGTCCGTGAAGGTATGTGTACGTGTAAGATATACAACTGTAATGTATGAAAGATGCGAAGACATATCTAATATTGTCGAAGCCATTGGGTTGCCACTTCAAAAACCTCGCGTTCATCACCACGATGCAAAAATTCTCCGTAGAGTTTAAGTCTACAGAATTTGTCCAGTGCGTTCGTCTCTTCGACCACACTTCTCATTGTTCCGCACAGGGCCCGAGAACCTGAGAGACGCGAGAAATGTCTGGCTCAATTCTGCATTTGTGTTGAGATCCGCTCAGGGACCCAAATTGCAATACCGACTTGGCGGCGCCGAGCAAAGTACCAGTTGAGGTTGGGCACACTGTTTTTGAATTCTGCGGAAACTTACATATAAGTTGAGCAACTCTATCCTTACTGAACGCTAACCAGGAGTGTGACTGAGATATGTGAGTGTTTAAGTCATGGTTCTGTTGAGGGTATAAAAGAGTTAATCACATTCTGTGTCCATTTTGTCTGGCGACAAAGTTCTTCAACTATATACGATCATCCCTTCCTGGTTGGAGAAAGTCAAGTCTTCATCCTAATTGGCCATGAACTTGTAGATATTAGGACTTTGAGCTACACATTAATTACTCGAGGCTTTGAAATATACCGACTCAGACGACGATCTCATTCGATGCAGGACCATCCTGACACACCACGTCTCTCATAACATGATTCATCTTATTTTCCTCAGTCCAGACTTGAAACACGGCTCCTCAAACCTCTTCTGCATAAACATAAAGTCAATTACATGCTGCAGGCTTGAAACGTATCAGTTGATAAATCTTGAGAATAGTGCTTTCTGTTTGCAACTCCCCACAACCTGGTTATGAAAGCCACATAGCGGTTAAGAAATCTAGAGAAACCCTTGCCCAAAATGTTTTTGTAACATGGGAGCAATTAGGCCATGTGACCGAAAGAGGAAAGAAAAGATAGAAAATTATACATAGTAATATAAGATTGTTTGCCTAAAATTAGGTTAAGAGTGACACTATGTTGTGTGAAAGAACTTGCTTTAGGACTAAGGGCCTCCTTCCATGTTCAATTGGTGGACAATGTCATTTTTGGACTTTGTCCACATTCCATAATCCCTACAAGGCAAAGTCTACCCATTTTCAAAGTTTGCACTTCTATGTGTAAGAAAGTAAAGAACCTTATGATCTTCATAGGAGGTCATAAAAAGAGCTAATCACTTCCTATTGCAAGTCAAATAGCCATCGATACATCAATGGACAGCCCATCCACTTTTCTTTTTGCTCCCCAAAGCCAATTAAAGACAATTTTTTGGCTCCATTGCTAAAACTAATGGTGTGTGAAAAAATTGGGGGATGGTTTTATATTCTAGCTTCAATTTTGTCCACCAAGCAAGTATGGAAGGAGGTCCTTAGTGTAGTGATAATATAAGAAGATATCAAGAGATTGAAGCAAGGGGGTTGCAATAGGATCTTGTATTGCCATGAGAGTGAGGATGTTTTTTTTTTAAAGTTAAGATTACATCATAAACTTCTTTTTCCTTTTAGAAGTCCATACTTGATGCATGGTGCTATTGCTAGGTCACTATGACTAAAACAAAAACTTATGCATTGAACATGGAGCATGCAAAGTTTTGTGATATTAATGATTTAAAAAGTCTTATTGATATCTAAATGACTCTATAATATCACAAATTTATGCATTGTGCATAGAGTACGCATTTAAGAAGTCTTATTAATACCTAAATAACTTCTAAGGTCATATATTTGTCTTCAACAATACACATTTGATATACTTTAATATGAGAAAGTATAAAATCAAATAAAACTTGAATAATTATGGCTACCATAGGAAAAAAAATATTGGAAAAAACTTTGGAACTTGAAAAAAAAAATGATTATATATATATATATATATATATATATATAATCAAAAGAAATTCATATATATATATATATATATAGATTTACTTAAATTTATTTTAATATGAAATTTTACTCTTTATTTTTTGAGTTTGATATTGTCTTTAAAAATAAATTTGGTGCGTGATAATGCAATTTTTATTTTTTTGTTAACATCACAAATGAAGAATTCTTTCTAATAAAAACCGCCAATATCTTTGCAACATTTTCTTTCATGAAAATTTCTAGCAAAAAAAATTTGAAAGCAATTCAAACCAACAAAACGTGAAACATCTAATGGAAGAAAAAACACGATTGAATGGCTGCATTGTTGTTTAATCCAGAATTTCAAAAGACCTTGGTTGACCCACCAACAATATACTCTGGTTATCGGTCTAGTTAAATTATTATTCAAAACACATGAATCAAGTCAAAGCAAAAAAGTACTATGAAAGACTAAGAGTCTAGAGTAGTTTTTTTGAATTTGGAGACTTGATTTGGTCCAAGAGGGGAGAAGTTCCAGAGTACTTGTTCCATGAGGATTTGTTGTATCATTTTTCATATTATCTCTATAGTTTTGCTAGTATTAGGTTAAGGACTTGACTTGTTCTAGGACGAGAGAGTCTCCAGAGTATTTGGAGTCTTCTTCCCCTGTGGAATTTATGGGGGATTTATCTCTATACTGAACAAAGTTTCCAATCAGGTGGTCTTGTTTGTATAAATATATTTCAATATGTTTTGAGTTCTACACTGGCACAATCCGACAAATTTGAGGAAAATGTGCCAAATAATGGCAATGATTTTGTCGTTGGATTAATCTAAAAATAAGAATATATTATCGTTCTTTTAGACTGAGGGCGTTCGACTACAAAATCTCAAAATGAGCAATTAATTTTTTTCCAATGAGCAAAAAGAAAGAGGGAGATCCTCAACAAAGATAGCTTGTTTGACACTGAGATCAGGCCACGTTCACGCGCAGTTCCAAACAAGATTCATAGGGACCCAGAAATGATGCATCGCTGATTCACACACGCACGAGATAGCAAAACTCGAACTCGTGAGGGCGTCTTGACGTTGAACTGATGAGACATTACCCCTTCAAACAATTTATTGCTGCATCACATACACATACGTTCTTGCGTACCACAAAAGGGACATGGTCGATCGTGTAAGCTGCACTCCTACCTTATCGTACTTGAAATTGGAATTAGAACACAAACTTCCACATCTGGGCGTAGTGCACCTCAACGTGGGCAGAAAGCCATCGATAATAAATCCTAGTGGCCGCAGCTGACCGACTGCAACCTTACAAATTCCAGTTACTAGACCCCGGCCTCTGATGACTGACTATCACTCCGATGGATGAGCCGCTTTCCATCGCATTGCACATTTTCATTGTTTTTCATGGCAGCGCCTTGTCAACCATGGTCGTTTGCCACTTATGGGGCGAATGCAGCCTGGATCGTGTTCACGGTTCTGGCGTTGATTCTGAAGCGCTTCTGCAGCACCCTATCGTCGATGTCGGTTCCGAACAATGCCGGCGCTATCTGCTGCACTCCTGGGTTCTGGCTGCTCAGGGCCGCGAATGCGGCTGCGATGCCGGTGCCCACGTTGAGCTGGAAATGCACCAGGCCCCGTGGGAACACGAACAAGTCTCCCTTCACGAGGATGGTGGCGAACAGAGTGTTGCTGGTACTCACGAACCCCACATACAGGCTCCCCTGCAGCACATACAGAATCTCCGTCGCTCTGGGGTGGACATGGGGTGGGTTGATGCCGCCCACCCCAAAGTCGATGCGCACCGCGGAGATGCCGAAGGTGTTGAGACCTTGGAAGTTGAACACGTTGGCAGCCGTCACGTTCACAGCGTTATAGTTGTATGTGGTTCCGGGGTTCTTCAACAAGACAGACTTGAAGTCGCCAACCACCACCTGAGCGGCAGGCTTGCAGGGAAGACCGTTGATAGTAGTAGAGGAGGCGGTGTCGGCGACGCAGAAGTCCTGGAGTGGGTCCTCGTCGGCCGCCATGGTGAGGCTGGGTACAAGACCCACCATTACCAACACAGACAGTGTTATCCACATCGAGTTCATGGTGGAGAGGGTGCAGGTCGGAGCTGATGAGACAACGGAGAGGAAGTGGAGTAAGATAGATGGACAATGGAGTAGTTGCTGCCGATGGATGTTGGGCTGTGAGGTTATAAGGATATATATGCTGCTGATCATGTGGATCATGTGGAGTGATACGGAAATAAACAGTGACGAGAAACCAAGACCAGTGTGGTGGTGGGGACAATGCAGTCCTGCAGTCACTGGAAGTCATGAATGAACGAACGAAACCAGGTTCGATGTCTTTGGCGACCACGAGTCAGCTGGTTTACGAGTGTCGGGAAAAGCATACAATCAGTCAAGTGCAAACATACAATCAGTCAAGTACAAGTTGTGTGCATGTTCTAGAGAATTGATAAAATACCTTCAACTGTATTAAGAGGTCTTTGTTGCCTTTGAAAATATCAATAATATAGACCATGTGCAAAATATCCATTATAACTAAATGACAAGTTTTTATCAATATTAAATAAATTAATTTAACAAAAAAAAAAACTTTTTTGCCCTCAAAAGAACTCGAAATTTCACAAAATATATTAGATTATTTTACAAAAAAAATATTCATTTAAATATTTAGATTATTATTAATATCATTATTTTTAAAATTAGTAACTTAAGCAATAAGTTCAAATATTTTAATAATATTATTTGGAATTCCAAGTTATTAGTAATATATAATGTAATGCATCTTTAATATTTTAGAAGCCATTTTTATATTAATTATTTCCAAATCTTTATGTAAGGAGAAATTGTAGGATGTTCCAAACTCTATAATGTTTATTTGTGTCGCTTGTTATAAAATAAAATAAAGATTTAAAGTCAATAGAAAGAAGCTAGTTTAATCTAAGTTTTATTCTATTCTAATTTTTAGACCAAAAATAATATTTGTGATGAGAAATTAGAGCCTGAATCAAGTTTGACATGTTTCAATATTTTTTATATTTTATTTTTAAAATTATGTTAGTTTAAGTTTATAATTAATGTGGTTTTGGTTGTTGGATATTTTAAGAAAAATAACACCTATATTCTATTCAACTATTCATGAAATTATATCTTTCTATAAGTCTATGAATTCTAGAATTTCTATTCATTTCTCTCAACAATACAATTATCAACCCTCCCTGATTTCTATCATTATTTGAATTATATTCAATTCAAATATGTCTTGTATAAATTTCATTTTTTTTTCTAGCTTTGAATTTAAAACTCAAATAGAGGTAAAAAAATATAAAAAATAGTGACATGTTGTTTGTAATGATTGTTTTTCAACTGCATATAAAAAAATAAAAGAATAAAAAAACACCAATAGTTATGTTTCTTATTATAAAATTTACTAGAAATTTTTTTATGTCATTGATTTGAAATAATGTACTGAGTAGAGTTTCTAATAATTTCTTGATTTTATACTATTGAATCCTACTCTAATCTAATTTAATAGGTCAAAAGAATTAAAAAAACAAAAAAACAAGAAAAAAAATGGTTTTTTCCAATAGGCATATGACTTAGCCAAATTAATCTCCAACCTTAAAAATTAAGGAGAATATATAAATTATTGATGATATTTGAAACTAATTCTTTAGTATCAAAAATATTAAGAGTAGAATTCTATAAATATTATTTTATTATTTATTTTTTGTTACTCTAAAGAAAATTTGAGTTATTATACACTTCCACTTGCTACAACCCTTTAGAGATAAAGACACTTAGTTACTAAGAAATACATAAATGAAACTAAAAAAAAAAAAGTTCTACCAAACTCTTCTTTATATTGAATATATATATATATATATATATATATATTCTTTATTCATACATGTTTTATTTTCATCTTGAAAATATAATTAATCATATCCACAAACTTGTGGTGAAAATCCACTCATAAATAGCCAATAAAAATAAATTCTTTAAAAACTTGTACCTTAGAAAAATTAAGCTTAAACAATAATAATAAATGATTATATTTCTTGGAATAATCAAAAAAATTATAAATAAAATTTATTTCAAAGTAAAATTAAAGTAAAAAAAAAGGTTGTTAAACTTAGTTCATTTTTTTCAAAAGAAGTGATAGTATCTTTTTCTGTAAAATCTTTATAAAGGTTTTATATAAAGTATTCAAAAAACTTAAGGACTCTTAATTTTATAACATAGTTTTATTTCCAACATCTTGAAGTAAAATAATATTACATATAGTTATTGATGAGAAGAAATAATCTTTTAAAATAACTATATTAAATATATTTAAATAATCTATATCAATGAAATTATTATTTTTTTATGAACAATCGATATATATATATATATATATATAGATATAGATATAGATATTTACACACATATAATTTTTCTATATAACTATTTTATAATAATAAAGATTTAATAAGTTTGTTTCTTATTTTCAATACTTTATTAAAACTTTGCTCTAAAATATTATTCATGGTAATATTTGATGCATAAAAAGACTAAGTATTTGAATATATTGAAGAATATAAAATTTAATTTTTAACTAAATACTAAGTCATAATTATAATCAATATATTTTTTTAACGATTTAGTTGAAAAAAGAAATAAAGTATTAAATATTTTCCATCTTGGTAAAAATAAGATGACACCTAACAAACCAACTTATTTTAAATAGAAATTATATCAATATATGAATTAAATAAGTGCATCATTGCTTTACAATAAATACTATAATATATCATAATGACAATAGTTATATAATTCTAAATCATTTCTTTAATATATTAAATGTAAGTGGTAATAGAACAATGCAATATAACATCCATATTAAGTTTAAATTAGATTTTAAACATTAAATTAAAATTTCTAAAATAACTCTTCAAAATACAATAATATTTGAAATAAAGAATTTAAATTTGATAACACAATATAATCCTTTTAATTTTCTAATTTATTGAAATCATCTATGAATAAATTTTTATAATTAAATATACTATTTTTCTTGCAATAGAGATAAGAAAATACAAAGTAAAAAATATTAGAACAAAATTTTATTAATATACCATGTTGCAAAATGTTAAAATAGTGATACCTTGCAGTATTAGCTAGCAATTTTAAATATTGAAAAAATAATAAAACATCTAAAAACATCTTATGAAAGATATTAAATAAATTTAGATAAATTTGGTATTATACTAATGGAACAATAATTGAAAAGCCTTATAGGTGCAAAATATAGATTGAAAGAGCAAAGTGGTTATATTATAATTAACAATAACAAGAAAAGTAATGTTTTAAAAAAAATCTAATATAGATAAGTAATAATAATCTTTATTATAGTATATGTGATCCTAATAAATAAATGACTAGTTAGTTTAGTATTAACTTTTATTATTTTTATTTATCAACTTTTAATTATAATATATTTTTGATCTAATGATGTTAACAAAGATTTCATAAATAAGATATAAGTAAGTTAAAAATAATTTAGGAGTAAATTAATTTCAATCTAAATTTTTCATACTTTTGATCTTTATAAGTATTATAAATTCTTACAGATTAAGGTATATAAATAAATAATAAATTCTCATTAAAAAATGTGTTTAAACACTGTGGTGTCCTTATTTTGGCCAAAAAAATATTTTCAAGGCTTATTTGATGGCCAACAATCTTAATTTCGGATTTTAATACTTGAATCAATCCATATTATTGAACTTTGTTTAGATTACTTGGAATTCAAGGATGGAGATGTAGTTGTTACTCTGAGAACTTAGAGCAAGAGTGTAAAAAGATTCATGGACTCATTTGGTTAGGGCCTCTTCATTTTTATTGATGGATAAAGCCATGCCAATTTTTCAATAAGTTTTGTAAGTAGCTTCATTCTTTTTTAGTTTTTTCTTCTATATTTTAAAATTAATTCCTAAAAATTTAGATGAAGATAGATTTATTATTTTTTTTTATTATTTTTTTGAATTTTTTGGACATAAAAAATTTGAAACTTAGACTTTGGATAAAGAATAATCTTTCAATTTAGTAAAAAACAGTATATTACCTTTATGCTTTGGTAGCTCAATTTTGGAAGACTTTCCTTCATTTCTTATAATCTAAAATGTAATAATAGTTATTTTTTTATAATTGTGATAAAATCTAGCTTTTAAAAAGCTAAAAATTGATTACATTGGAGCTGAATTGTGATAGAAGTGCTGATTCTTGTAGTAGAGAGTTTAGTGCCTTAAAAAAAATTCAACTTTGAAGGACAAGCTCAAAAGAATTAAAGGAAAAATAAAAGGCTCAATTTCTAAGAAAATACTCCATTTGAGGTCACAATTTTAGTAAGCTTGGGTTTACTAAAGGACAATAAAAAACCAATTAGTGGTACTCCAATTTATGAAAGGAGGGCTATTGTCTTGCCAAAGTAAAAAAATCAAAAAAAAATTAAAAATTTTCAAATAATATCATTTATTAAATATTAAAAAATTAATCATGTATTTTTGAATTTAATAGACATGACATTATATTTAAAATATCCATACCTAGTTTAAAATAGAATCTTCTATTTATCTCTTTTTTTAATATATACAAAGTTTTATGCTTTTTGTAGATCTATTTTGGTATAGATCTTTGCTTGATTCAATTGATTAGGAAGTTTCAATATCAAAGGTAGAGGATATCTATTTTTAATGGTGTTCTTATTGAATCTTTAATAATTTACATACATCCACAATGATTTGTCTTTCTTCTTTACAAATAAAATAAGAATGCTTGCTAGAGATTTTAAATAACATATGAAGCTCTTAGCTTAATTCTTGTCAATGTATTACGTAAGTACAACCAACTTTTTTTGTAATAAACTATAGATTGGTCCAAATAGAAATTGAATTCTTTTTCAAAGATCAATTAAATATTATAAGAATAATACAATAGAAGGATATTTGTATTTTTTTTTCAAACATTTCTTGGTAATCTTGATATTTGCTTAGAATGCCACTTAGATTCTTTCTACCATCAAAAATAGATGTGGCATAACTAACAAAAAATGATTCTTCTTTTGCCACATACATAAAAGCTTTTGTATCTATTTTTAAAGACTTAGTTATATTGGACTTATAATTTATACTTAAATAATAGAAGTCCAAGTTATGCTATAAAAAAATCAAGATTACAAGAAATCCAATCTATTCAAGGATTATATTTTTTAGCCATAATAAATCTAAAATGA